TCTCAGGCCAAACTACTTGTCATTCCTAGCGCTTCTGGAGATACCAGCTTACACTGCAGTACAGTAAGGTGTTTAAAATAAGAGAGAGGTACAAGGTGCTGTGAGAACCCAAAGGCAGACAGGATGGAGGTGACTCTGGGTTTTCCAAGATGGTCAGAAGGCTGAGGCAATTGAACAGCATTTGCAGAGGCCTGGACATGTGAGAAAGCATGGAGGGGTCTTGGAGTGACAAATATTTATTTTTTGTAGAAATGTAAAGGCCTCTGAGCTTCAAGCACCCTCTCCTTCTCATCTTAGTTAATTCTGCCCATCCTTCTTAAGGCCATCTCTCAGCCCCCAGGGACTCATCTCGCTCTTATAGAACTGACTACCTCCTACCTCACGTTTAGTTTCTCAAGTAAAAGCTTCCTCAAAGCAGGAGCCAAGCTGATGTGCCTTTTCATCTTCCGCAGAGCCTGGCCTAGAACATTAACAGAAGGCTCTAACTGTAGCTGAGTATGAGGGCTGGGCTAAGGTTACACAGCAAGTTGTAGAGTTGTGACCTGAACATAGTCCTCACTCAGGGTTCTACTGTTATCTTGTTCTCTATGCCAAATTTGGGCACAGTTCTGTCTAGTTGACTTGGACTAGGGGATGCCTGAGGAGCAGGTTTGATGTCAAGGTCCTGGGTTGGGTTCCCAAAGTCTATAGCTGAAAAGCAGTGGCTCTTGAAATTAATTGAAGGGAAAGACCTTCCTTGACATGCCTTTCCCTTGAGGGCATGGGAGCCAGGCTGAAGGGCACAAGTCTGACTCCACAACGGGCCAGGGCCCACACTAAAGGGGCCTTCTATGTCCTGTGGATATCTCTCCAGGCATACTGTCACCTGAGCCTCATCCTGTTTTATCTCCAGCCCCCTTCAAGCCTTCTAGCACATTCCAGCAAGCCCAGGCCATGGGCTTACCCATTCAGACACTCAGAAACAGGAACATACAGTTTCTAGGAGCAGGACAAGATTATGGCTTCTTAGTCTGTAAGTCTGACAAAACTAGATGGCTTAGGACCTGCAGCACTGATGCTTTGTGAACCACACCCCCACTTTTCCATTTTCATTCACTTTCAGACCAGGACTGCAGAGGCAGGGCTGCTGCCCAGATCAGCTGAGTGTCCAAGTAGATTTCTGAGGGCTATGAGCCATGAGGGAGGTAAGAACAGTGAAGAAAGTCTGGGGGAGTGGAGACCAAGTGTTTCCTTTACTCACAGCAGCCTCTGCCCAAAGATGACACTCAGAGAACCCACCTTACAAAATTTCCATGTCTGCAGTCCCCTCTCTACCCATTGCTCGTCATTAGACCTCTCCGGGCTTCAGTTTCCTCATGTAAAGTCAGTGAGCCGTCTCCACCTGTGTAGGCCCAGACTGTGAACACAGCCAAGAAGCTCCATTGCCTGGCACAAGTGCTGGGGCCCCTCCCTTTGCTGACAGTACCCTCTGCTCCCTTCCCAAGTGGCCTTCAGGGTGAGAAGGCTTGGATAGCACAGGAGAAGACAGCTGTAGTCATAGACTGCTTCAAGGCTAACAAGGCTGAGGATGGCATAGCCCTCTCATGGGCACTTCCTCCACACCCAGGAGTCATTCAGGGATGACCTCTGACCCCTCTTGCCATGAGACCTCTTACCCAATGCCCCCCCCCCCCAACACCCTTGCTGACTCCAGCCCATCTCAGGCCCCTGCTGAGCTCTCCCAACACAATAGAGCTCTTGTGTTCCTTGCCCCACCAGGTCCCAGACCTGCTCCCAGGCCTGCCTGTTTTCTTAGCCTCTGGCAGGTCCCCTCAACCCACCCACAGAGCTCATAGCAGCCTCAGAGTCCCTAACCAGTCCCTGTTTAACTCTTCCCCTCCCAAAGGGAGACAGTCCAGCCTCTGGCTCTCTTCCTCATCTATTGGGCCAGAATGGACTCATATCATATAAGCAGATCAAGGTCTCAGCTAGCTCTCTCCTGCAGCCTGGGACCTCTTAGGTAAAGAAAGACGAGTGGCTGTTTCCTGAGTGTACTATTAGGTACCTGTGCATGGGTGTGTCATTGTAGGGACCTTCTTGGTGCTCCCTAGAAAGGCATGGCATCAGTCCTAGGAGAGTTCAGGGCTTAAGAGAGAATTTTATTCCCAGCGCAATAAAATAAAATAGGAGTCCTCTCTGTTTTCCAGCTGACAGCCACCCTTTCCGATGACCCCACCCTTATCTTGTGGCTGGCTGGTAGGAAGGCCGGACCGGTAACCTTCAGTGCTCATCCCACCTGGGAGTCAGAAAGGCTACAGGTGTGTTCTCAAACTTGAGTCTGCATCAGCATCACCTGGAGGGCAAAAACAGACTGTTAGGCCCCTCCATTCACCTTCTGCCTCAGTGCCATAGGTTTAAGAAGGGAATTATGTGCATTTCTAACCAGCTCCCAGGTGACATGGATATTTCTCTCAGACTCTGCCAGAAGCTGTCTTGGAGCCAAGATATGAGATCTGCTTAGACAAAGGTTGACATGGAATCTCAAGAGGTTGATACTGAGAGTGGTAGTCAGTCTCTCAAAAGGTCTGCATCTGATGAGGAGAAAGCTCTGAGCCGAGAACCAGTGTAAACTTGGGAGTTCCAGGACCAGTTCTTCCACCTACTTACTGAAACACTTGATCTTAGACAAAAGGCTGAGAAGTGACTGGATCTGTAATCTTCCTTAAAACCACATTTTCTTATTCCCCTCTTGCCTGCCAGGCATTTTATGTATCTTATCCCTACTCTTTACTCCCCAAAGGCAAAGAGATATCCCTGAAGCTTGCAGAGGTGGGATTGGACCCCAGACTCTAAAAGCCTAGGCTCTTAACCTCCCTGGGATTCTCCCTAGGAAGGGAAATGCACAGCTTGGGCATTTAGAATGATGAAATAAGGGACGGGAAAAAAGATCCTCAGAAAGAAGAAAAAGAAAACACCAAGGTGGGTCAAATTACTTGTAAACTTTGCCTTCTTAACAGCACAGAGAGGTACCCAATGCTTACTTCTAGCTCTAGGACTCTAAGAGATAACTATGTTTAAAGAGAGCTATTTTCTAAATTAAGAAACACAGAGCTCAGTGGCTACTAATCTGAGCTAAGAAAACCAGTCCTTCCCAGACTAGAGGGGAGGAGTAGACAGACAGACCCAATTTTTTAGGTAGCTGGTGTGTCTTGGTCCACCACAGAAGTGGGTGCATACAGCTCTTCTTGGTGTGTCTCCATTTAAAGCTGCAGATCTCATAGGAGAAGAGCCCCTTTCCTTCTCTCCTGGGCCCTGGGCCTTCCCTATCGTATTCACTGCTATACTACTGCCACCAACAAGCGTAGTTCTTGGTGAATCTGAGGAACAAAAGGTGCTGCATGAATTAACACATTCCCATCATGCCTGCAACATCCACAAGGCCTCAGTCAGTGGCCAGGATTCTCCCTTATATACCTTGGATGGTAAGAGCCCTGTTTGAAACTGGAGATGTAAAATCAAGAGGCTGGGAAATTCACTTCTTTAAACTTAAAATTTTAATATCCTTTCTCCCCATCCTCACCCCACACTGGGAAAGGCCAAAACAGTGGGGCTGGGTTTAATTACAAATTAATACATATTGTCATTGTGTAAAGTAAATCAACACTTTGGCAATAAGGAACTATTCTTGGAAAAAGTGAAACCCATATTAACAAAATATGTCATGGAAGAACCCCATTCAGTGAGCTCACTGGCTTCTTAAAAGACTAGAAATGTCAATGCTCTGCACACTTTGGGGCTTATCCATGCAGTGGCAGTGGGAAGAGGCCCTGCCCAGACTCAGCCAAGCCCAGTCAGCTCCAACCAACCCCGAGACCCAATACAAGGGAAAAGGATGAAAAATGTAGACCCACAAGTAAAGTCTTGTAGCTTCACTCCTAAGCCCACATGAGGAAAGGAGACAGAATTGAGAGGAAAGGCTTAAAAGTGCAGTTTTTCCAATCATAAAAATTAAAAAAGAATTTTAATTTAAAAATTAAAAAAGTTTAAAAATCAGCCAACACCACTGGGGGGGGGGGAGGAATAGAACTTAATTATTTTGAGTAAGTATAAACGTCGTCTCAGCTTCAAGCCATGTCTTTGGGTGCGCAGACAATATCTTTTCTGTACCCTGCTCAAGCTGGGAGACCCTATGGGTATTCTTTGCTTAGCAACTTCAAAGCAGCAGGGATTTTTTTTGTAAAAAGGCACTATATACACACATGCATATATGTGTATATATGCACATGTGTACAAAACATATAGTGCGATAAAATATTTTTAGAAAGCTGGGGGCACCAAGCCTCTGGGGCTGACTTCTTTCTGTTCTGAGTTTCACAGGACAATACCTACCCATGAACTTCTCTCCAGTTTGAAACACTTCATCTTCCCTTGAGATTGCCTGATACTGAAGTAGGAGAGTGAGGCAGGTCCACAAAATAAACGAGGGTCCCCCAGAAAATGTGTCACCAGTGACATTTTTCACATGCAAAAGAAACACTAGAGTCATGAGTTATTTGAGAGCTTTCTACCCATCCTGACTCCCTCCCCTGCCCAGCTTGCATGCCTGAAAGCTACATCTTTAAATATTTCTGGCTGAGCCCTCTTGCCACATATGTCAGGAACATTCCAAGCTGGCTACCACATGTTCAGGCTCTGGCCTCCTTCCCTCTCTACTGTCGAGTGCTCTGCTGTTTCAAGGGCACGGTGGGGCCATGCGTCTCCCATTTCAGCTCCATCTTCAGTTGATTGTACATCTCAAAAACAACCAAATTTTAAAAAGAAATTAATTCCAAAAGCATGTTCATATTTGGATACCTATTTCTCTTGAGATTTTTAAAATTCCACCTGATGTATCTATTAAACTGAGAGTTAAAGTGTGTGTACATGCACAGACACACACACACCCCCCCCACCACACACTCACAAAATTAAGAGGGTTGGGGGAAGAGTGTTTCCTGCCAAAAGATCTAACAGAGGAAAGCTTATGTGCTGATCAAGTTTTAATAATGTGGTTAACAAGAAATGTACACCATTTAGCAAGCACACAGAGACTAGGGGTAGGAACAACTGGTCCCTGGAGCATCTGGCTTCCCAGCCCACTTTCTGCTACCTTTGGAATAGTTTTGATAGCTACTACATTCAGAGAATCCAAGAGGACTGCATGGACAGATGAACCTTTATTTAAAAAAATAGCACTTCAAATAAATTAAAAGGGACAACCGTCAAGTGTTCAAATTGTGAAGAAGTAGTTGAAAACCTAGAGACTCCAAGCTGCAGTCTTCCAACCTCATTCTTTGTCCAATGGCAAACACCCACACATCTCAGTCCTCCCACTCAATCTTTTCCCTACTGAGATGAGGGAAGCAATTGCAAACAGGAGACCAGACGGAGGAGAAAGCTGCATCTGATTGGAATGAACATTGCCACGTACTTGCTAATACGGGTTTCACTTTATGACCAAATGTATTCTTTTAAAAATAAAAAAGGGGGGAGGGAAGCTGCATGTTTTTAAAAATTGAAATTATTTAGGGATAAAACACTAACTCTAGTGCCTTTAACGGGCAATAGCAACTTTTTTCCTCCGAAGTCAAACACCATCCCCAGCTGAGCCTTTGTGCTACAAGCTTTTCAGGAGATGTTACCTAAACTTTATTAAAAGAAAAGAACAAGTTTAAATATAGACACTGGACTAGCCCAGTCTGTATTTTCAAGTCCACATTCTTCATCTGAAGCATTGCATCAGGGAACCCCCCTGAGTCTGCATGTTTTCAAGTTCACAGTACATGGAACCAGTTTTTCTTTTTAATTTTTTCCTCACTCAGAGCAGCCACGCATAGTGGCCGTTGACGCTGGAACCTCGGGCGGGGCCTTTTCCTACGAGGCCTGGCCAGAGCTGCCCAAGGTTTCTCCTCAATGAGAATCGATGCTGTCATGCTCTATGGATGGGAAAAAAGCAAGAAAATAAAAGCACCTGGTACAGGTTTCATGAGATCCATTTGGATTCGCTATGTTCCAAACCCGCTGCTGAATGCCATTTGTCCACTTTGTGTGTATTGAACAGTTTGTGGCCTTAGAGTCGGTCTCAATTCGAAGAACTGTTATTGGATGCCCCAGAGGTTGATGCAATAGCAGCTCCAGCAGGGCTACTCGTGGAGACCGACTTTCGGATGTGAGGCAGCAAGTAGGGGTCACAGGCCAGTTGCTGGACATCGATGCGGTCTTCCTTTCGGTAGGCCAAGCATCGTCGAATAAATGCCTGCAAAGGAGAGTTTCTTGAAGAAGACGGAAGCAGATAATCTTGTTCCCCCAGAGGGAATCCTGAGGCTCAGCACCAGCTGCCAGAGCCCAGAGCAAACATCTCCTAAGGAGAAGGGAGTTAAGGCTTTTCCTGTAGATCACCAGAGAGACCCAAAGACGACAAGGGAAGGAGACGCACCAGCAGCAGTACCTTTCTGCTGCCACCAACTTCTTCCTGGACAGAGGGAGTTGAGCCATTTCTGAAGTTGGGGAGAATAGGGGGATGGCCTCTAAATACTCCTGCCCCCAAAGCACTAGGGCCAACAACAACCAAAAAATCTCTTTGCCTTGGCTGGTTTGGATGGGAAAAGTGTGACTTCATGGTTGTGTATCTATAAACCACAGTCTCAAGTGAACTTTCTAAGCAGAAATTGTAACGACAAACTACCATCACAGGCAGTCTAAAGAGACCAACAACGACTAACATTACAGCATATCATGGGCGGTGAAATGATTTCCACATGTATCTCACACCACTGTGAAAGGTCATTAAGCAAATGACCGGTATATACCTAAGCAGTACAAGGAAACCTGAGGAGGATTTGCATCCCAGTGAATTCAACAGACATGAAACACACATTGTGAGTGCAGCTTGATATGGAATTCAAATTGACTACTAATGTGGAGGTTTCCTGGGTTGTTTTTATTTTTAAACCGAATAGTTCCATTTAGGCCCGTTGCCCATAGCTCAGCAGTTAGGGTGCTGGTCACATATACTGGGTCTGGTGGGTTTGAACCTGGCTCCAGCCTGCTAAACAACAACAAAAAAATAGCTGGGCATTGTGGCAGGCAGGCCTGTAGTCCCAGCTACGAGGGAGGCTGAGGCAAAAGAATCACTTGAGCCCAAGAGTTTGAGGTTGCTGTGAGCTGTGATGCCATGGCACTTTACCGAGGGTGACATAGTGAGACCATGTCTCAACTCCCTCCCCCCCAATGAAAAACAAATATTTCCGTTTAATCAAAATTATAAGTAAATACTTTAAATAAATGGATCAATTTTTAAAAATCTCAAACACCATGCCCACGTTTCACAACAGGGTGATGGATCAGTGCAGGGAGGTTTGCCACCTGTGGCACATGTGCCTCTCTGATGGGGATGCTGATGGGGGCTGTGCGTGGCAGCACGTAGTATATGGAAACTCTGTACTTTCTGTTCAATTTTGCTGTGAATCTAAAACTACTCTAAAACACAAAATTTATTTAAAATAAACTCTAAAACATGAAATAACCTGTTGATTTTCTGTTGTTTCCCCCAGTTTAATAAAACATAAAACTATAATGTCAACCCTGGTTTTTCAAAAACAAAAATGCTTACAGGTACTGGCTTGGCTAAAATGTTTGGAAGAGGGCCAGGTACAGTGGCTCAAGCCTGTAACCCAGCACTCTGGGAGGCCAAGGTGGGTGAATTGCTTGAACTCAGGAGTTCAGGACTAGCCTGAGGAAGAGCAAGGCCCTGTCTCTTAGAAAAACCTAGCCAGGGGCAGCACCTGTGGCTCAGTGGGTAGGGTGTTGGCCCCATATACCGAGGGTGGTGGGTTCAAACCTGGTCCCGGCAGAACTTCAACAAAAAAAATAGCCGGGTGTTATGGAAGGCGCCTGCAGTTCCAGCTCCTTGGGAAGCTGAGGCAAGAGAATCGCCTAAGCCCAGGAGTTGGAGGTTGCTGCGAGCTATGACATCACAGCACTCTACCAATGGTGACAAAGTGAAACTCTTGTCTCTAAACAAACAAACAAAAAACTAGCCAGGCATTGTGGTGGGCGCCTGTAGTCCCAGTTACTTGGAAGGCTGAGCCCAAGAATTTGAGATTATACTGTGAGCACCACGGCACTCTACTGGGGGCAAGAAAGTGAGACTCTGTCTCCAAAAAAAAAAAGGGGGGGGGGCTGGAAGATAAAGACAAATTCATAAAAATGAATATAATAATCTTGGCCTTTAAAAACGGAATTTTATAGGCCAGGCATGGTGGCTCATGCCTGTAATCCCGGCACTCTGGGAGGCCAAAGCAGGTGGACTCCCTGAGCTCGCAGGTTTGAGACCAGCCTGAGATAGAGCAAGACCTGGTCTCTAAAAATAGCTGGGAGTCCCAGCTACATGGGAGGCCAAGGCAAGAGAATTGCTTGAGCTCAAGAACTTGAGGTTGCTGTGAGCTGTGACACCACAGCACTCTACCAAGGGCAACAAAATGAGAC